TAACAGGTAATTGCAAGCTGGAGAAAAGCATTTTCATTTAAGAGGCTTATATTGGCAGTTAGAAGTTTAGTAGTTTTGTGTTATAAGTAGTAATTCTGTCTTGAAATTTGCGATGTGATACGTGAATAGCGGATGCCATAAGATATGCTATGGAATCTTTTGAAAGATGCAAATGGCCGAGTCCGGAAGACCTTGAAAAATATTTTCCCAATGTCGCCTGCACTGTTTTTGTCTTAATATTTCAACCTTGGAGGGCGGTTGATGTTCTCAAGGAGACGGTAGAAAGATTTTCATGGTAACACGTTTAATTTCAATTATGAAAAATTCAAAGAAAAGCTGTGAATGGAGCCCACATGTCAAAGCGCTGGGAAAATTCAGCTATCGTTTAAATGCTTTACAAGGTGAGGTGTTTACCGGACATTATTTGATAGCCTGACAAGCAACTAATCAAAAAAATCTCTAAGGCGACTACTGCAGATGCTGTCGCAAACCAGCTCACAGAGAGCAAGAGCTTTTGGTAGAAATATATTTGATGAGCCAAAAAATCTCAGATCATAAGACATTGGCTATCTGATGACGACCCTACTTCAAAAAGGATAAGTGGTTCCTTACTTGTACATATGTACATTTTCTTTTGCTTAAGGTTATATTTTTTTCTTTGTTCTAATTACATTTATGTTATTCATTTTTCCTTTAGCTTATCGATAGTAACATCCAACCAAATATCGATAACAAAACCGATAAAAAATCGATGACAAATTCGATAAAAAATTCGATAGCAAATCGATAAGAATATTGGTAGCAAAATCGATTAGAAAATCGATGAAAATATCGATAACAAAATCGATAACAAAATCTATAAAAATATCGATAGCAAAAACGATAATTAATCTATTCTAAATTCGATAAAAATTTTGATAGAAAAATCGATATTGGTAGCAAAATTGATAACAATATCGACAACAAAATCGATGAAATAATCGATAACAAAACCGATAACAAAATCGGCAACAAAAATCGATTAGAAAATTGATAAAAATATCGGTAACAAAATCGATAAGTAATCGATAATTAAATCGATAAATAATCGATAAATAATCGATAAATAATCGATAACAGGACAGATGAAAATATCGATTATTATATCGATAAGTCCCTAGAATACCGAAAATCTCTCAAATCCAAAAGTGCAACAACGGTTGGAACCGCTGAACCGAACCGACCAAATTTTTCATCCGGTTCACGTCCCTGCTTCAAAATGTTTATTTCGAACAACTATCGTGCAGGCTGGAGACAAGTCATTCCGTCACACACCATGCGCGCAGTTCAAAACCTGAAGTTGAGAGATTACTTTTGTCCTCTGGCATTAGATTGAGAAAATTTATTTCCAAAGTTAAATTCAATTCTGGTCCGCCGAAAACTGGACCAGAACTTAATTGAATAGTTGATTTAATTGCTAAAGCAAATAAAAGCTAGTAAATCTTTACAAATAGATAATGCATTAAACCCGTCAAAATACCGCAGAAGATTAGTGGTAAGCTAGGTATTACTAGAGAAACATAAAAGTTCACTGGCTATTTTTCGAATAAGCCAAGCGACGGCGAACATATTTACACTCCCAGTATAAAAATATATGACATGTATCTGCTTATTTATACGTATTTAGTTTGTGTGCTCATTTGCCAGCACCTCATTGTCGGATGCGTGGCTGTCACCGGCTTAAAGCTAATTAAAGGTGATGGCGAGTGAGAGCTTAAAACGCATCAATCGTGTAAGTAGTGACAATGCAATAGCCTTCATTGTGAATAACAAAACGAAACGTAGACTATACTAATTTAAGCAACTTAGTAAAACAGCCAAACTAACCGACTACAAATGTGCGAATGAAAATAAAACATATCTACTTATTATGTTGAGTGTGAAAAACTAACCAACCAAAAATGGCGACAACGGCCAAGCCAGTGTGTTGGGGCGCGTCTGCGGTGGCAACGGCGGTGGCATTGGTGTTGGCACGCAAGCTGTGTTGTTGGCCATAAAATGGCAATTTTCATGCTTTAACGCCAGCAAAATATTTGCGTACTGAATAATGCGTGTTGATGTGGAGTAGTGAAATGGCAATAACCGCTGCATGTACTTTGGTGCATCAACCCAGTGAGCAAAAAAATCGCCAATGTAGTAATATTGCATTTAGTGAATTGACGTATATATTTTGACTCCATTCTGTCAAATCTTCATCCGCAACTCGTCCCGAAGGATATTCGGAGTATTTAAATAGAAAAGCTTAGTTCCTTAGAAAACACCAGAGTGAGCTGCGATAATGATGGTAGATGGAAAAAGAGTGTAGCACAGAAACCAGTAAAAATAAAGACCATAACTCCTATAAGCATTTTCATTTCAGCAGAGCCGGAAGCAAGTTGCAAAAAAATATTATTGGGCGAATTTTGATTGCTTTACTGGGCAATTCCGGCTAAGATAGCTGAGCGTCTTTTGTAAGCAATTGAAAGCAATAGCCAACATAGTTTCAAAGACTTTGCTTATTCTGGCACGAGAGTCTTAAAAAAGCTCAACTTTCATAGTGAAAAGCTCATTTGGCAAAAAGCACTTGTATAACTTTTAGAAACTTATTATATTTTCTTTTTATTTTCTTATTTTAGATTTTAATTTAAAAATTGTTTTATTTTTATCTCATTTAATTTTTAAAATGTATTGTTTTGTTATTTATTTTTATTTTCATTTTTATATTTTATTGTTTTAAAAACAAAAATATATATATTTTGAAATTTTATTTAATTTAAATGAATTTATATTTTCTTATTAATTTTTTTTTAATATGAATTTCTTTTAATTTTAAGGTTATATTATCATAAAAAGAATTTATTTTTATTTCGCTGAATTTTTATTCTCTTTTATTAGAGTAATTCTTTTAATATCTTTTTTTTTGAAATGAATTCTTTTAGCATTTAGATTTTATTGTTAAAAAAATTAATTTCGTTTAATTAATATAAATTGATTATATTAATTTCTTTTGATTTTAATTAAATGTTTTTTCTTGTTTTAGTTTAAGTTAAAGTTTTCACTGTTTTCAAAAGAAAAATAAGCTATTTTCATTTAATTGGTAGCAAACTTATTGCTACAGGAGGTACAGTATAATACCTAGACTCTCTCGATAGCTGACATTTCAATTCGTTTTTCTAAATACAGAAAAGAGGTTACAACGTAGTTGCCAGAAATGACAAGTGTCTTAAGAAAGACTTTTGTCTTCCAAAAGACTATGGCGAGTTTAAAGACAGTTGCCAGAATTGTCCTGTAAGTCGCCTGTGCTCCATTTTTTTGGCGACAACTGACGTATTCATTATTATAAAAATTTACACTATAGGTGATCACAAGATGGATGTACTTACATCACAAAACTATAACCTATATCGGGTGGTAACTTGGGTTTCAAGGACTACCCAAGCCACGGTGAAATAGTTACGCACAAAGCTTCAACGTTTGGTACGATAACCAAGTGCTTGACGTATTCCTAGGGTAGGAGCCTATACACGTAATCATAAGGCAGACGACAAAATGATCCCTAATTAAATTCGCTAGTGGGGGGCTAGCCCTACTCATTAGAAATTATATGTATTTCGCGAGCATTAGTATTTGAGAAGAGGTTCAGCAATGAATGGTGGGGAAAAGCAGCACTGATTACTCCAATTTTGAAAAGGCATTTACAGACGTCTCGAAAATTCCATTCCAATAGGAATCTATTCAAGAATTTTTCGGGGTGAAGTTTAGGCCGTCAGTCTGTGTGCCAAGATAATGAAATGGGATGGAATTACCTGAAGCTATGGCTATTATATGAATTAGACGAAGGAATGCCGGAACATATCCTTCATGAAAGTGTGGTTCTCGCTTAAAGCAGATTACATCTCCTAGGTGGAGTGATAGTTGATTCATGACATTTGATATTTTGCAGTGGTAGGCTATATTGGAAGCCAATAGGCCACGTTGTAAGTCGTGGTGCACTGTGGTCCCATAATAATAATACTAACAAGCGTACTATATATTTATGTATTTAAATTCTAAATAAGTACATACTCTAGTTTCTAAATCCGTAAAAACTTACTCTACTACCATAACCGGCTAACAACCGAATATTTAGATGTGGCAAAATTTATATATAGGTAATGTATGTCTCTATTTAAGTAGACAATCACTGGTGACAACATATTGCCACCATTTATTGGCCAACTAATAATTGCAAAATTGTTGTGTGGTTATATGATTACTGGTTCAGCGCTGAAGTGTTGCAAATCATTTAAGCCGCCACAACCATAACCGGTTAGCCAAAGCAGATTTTCAGCTTTGCCAAATTCGGCAAAAAAGTTTTTGAAGATTTTTCTGCTCAAAAATTTTTAATTATTTTTATTACAAATCTGCGTTCACTGGCACTAGCCAGTAATAGCCAACAATTTTCCATTCAATAGTCAATTTTAATGCATTTTCCATGTTCGGCGGCCGTATAAATAAACTAATTAGCAAACTTGTGGCGCGCGTTTGTTGCAAATTGCCGCAATCCAGTCATCAGGCATCAACCATCAGACACCAACCAGCATTCGCCAGCGCGCCAGGCGTATGTAAATAATAAATAAATAAAATGCTTAAAATGGCAAATAATATTTGCATTCGCTTGATTGCTGCAAACCATCGGCGGCACGCTAAACTTTTATGAAAATTAGTGATTTGTCAATGCAAGCAATTGAATAGTTAATTGTTGGTGATTTGTTTGATTTGCTTGATTTGCTTTGTGTGAAATATATGTACATATTTGCGTATGTGAATGAGGGATTGCGCATACGCTCTGGTGTACCAAAACGCTCGTTTAGGTGTAATGCGTATTAAAAATAATTAGTGTGTGCTTAAAATATTTATGGGCAAATATGCTAAATGTCTGTAGTAATATATACATATGTGTTTTGGTAAAATTAGCATTTATGAATTTTTAATTCACTTACCAAATATTAGAAATTTGTTACGCTGATTAAGATACGCTATTTAGAGCTTTAGACTGTAAAGAGAAGATAAAATTGTATTTTTATTTCTGAATTTTTACATTTATTTAAAAAATTTAGACCTGAGATTTGTACGAAAATAGATATTTAGGCTGCGTTTCACCTGCTTCATTTAAGTGAACATTATTTTAATTTTTGAATTTTTGGTTTCACCAATCAATTTTAATTTCAATTAAATAAAAATTAAATCAATTAAACATTGACCGAACCCAGGTGTTTAAATATTCAGCAACAGCGGCCCCAATATTGGTTCACTACAATCGAGACATTAAGATAAAGTCCTTCTGATTCGATGTAGAATCTCCATTTAAAACAACTACGCTCCACATAATTTTATTTGCTTCCTCAAATACTTCTTCTCATAGCGTGTGAGCGTAGAAATAGCGTTTGTTCACGGAAGCGGGAAAGCAATTCGTTGGACCGAAGAAAATAATATAATAATATCTAAAAAAAACAAAAGAAATCTGCAATAATAGAAGTTGAAGAAACACTTGCCGAAACGACAGCCATACCAAAGCGTAACTCCCACAAGAATGCAGTGCGCGGTTCACATTCAATATCAATGCAGTCAAGAGCTGCCCACTCGATCAACTCGGAATGCCAACATCAACACATACTTCCATTTTTCACAACTAACTAAGTATGCTATAACTGCACAATCTGAATCCATCAGTCGTCTTCGCTATCTTCACTACATAGTTATATCATTTACCGCAAGCTTCCACTACACTTTAGCTAAGAGAAATATCTACGCAAAAAAAAAAACATAAACTTCCGCAGTCACCC